GTCAGTCTATGTGAGTCAGTTCGTTATCAGACTTCCGCTGCATAAATGCTCATCCTATATTGGTTGATCTTTGGCTCTGCCCATACTCATTGAAGTATGTAACARTTTTGGTATCGGAGCAGACCAAAACGGATCTGCTCACCAGGTAAGACCGTTTAGAATTAGGTTATCACGTTTGATCTTCTAAATCGGCGCTGAAGTATTATCAAGTTCAAAGTTGCAAATTTTCTTTTTTTCGGTATTCTCGCTATTTCGGCATTTCCGTTTCAATTCAGTATTCGGACTTTATTTCGGATTTCTTTTGTACACGGTATGCTGTTTAATGAGATCCGAGAGATTGATACTAATCCAACATTCTGTTTGATTCGGATTTCTGGATAAGTATTCGGAATCAGGGTTGAATCAGTATTGTTTGAAATTCGGGTTTTCTGAGGTTCATTCAGCATTCCGTTTTCGGCATTTTGTTGTAAATCCTATATTCCGTTTTCTGTTGAGATTTCCGTTGTCTTTCAGTATGGGAATTAGGGTTATGAAAATCTTTTGGTTGTAGATCAACTTGGGGAAACTCGAACGTTTTGGGACCGTAAATCCGAAAATTTCGCTGAAACGCGAAAATTAGGGTTGGGACCGAAATTTTCGCGAAATTTTTCGTTCTCCTTGTTTGAGAAATTCCGAAAATAGGTTTAGGCTGTTAAAAATCGGATTTTGACGGTGGAAATTCCCGAAAATTCGCATTTTGAAAATTCGAGCGTTTTTCTTCTGAAATTTTCGAAATTTTTTTAAGCACACTAAGCCGTATCTGACCTTAAATTGCAACTACCGGGCAGTTCACTTATTCGGAGAACTCCCGGTCACATAGTGATCTCAAAGAGACCTAATCATAATACCTTTCAAATTCGTTATTAATTGGTTATCTTTATTACAAACATTGTTTACTGATTATCATTCGGATTTATTTTCGTTAATTATCATTAATTAATTTTATTGATTAAATCGTTATAAATTCCTTATTACGAATTTTTCGAAGGGTTTACGGGAAAATTATTTTTTTCCGTTTGATTAGGTGTCTACAGTCCATCAGTGGGACAGGGGATTGGATGTATATTGCTTGATTGTTCTACCCCTGTTCCCACTCTCCCTACCCCCCCGTGTTCTGTGATTACCGGGACTTCTCAAGTACCGCATCAGTTCAGACTGATGTCGACGGAACAGGACACCGGGGCACTGCCACGACGCAGTGCCAGAATCGCAGTTCGTGCCCGCCCTTCAGTACCTCCAAGACCGAAGAAACTCAGCAGACGGACGACTCCAGCAGCATCAAGTACGACATTGACGGTACAAGACGCCACCGGAGATCATCCCGCACACCCAGTCCGAGGAGCCAATGAGCCCGCGGCTGATTATCGTGGGCGGCTACTGGCATTTTTAGAAGCCGTAGCTGCCGTCGAAGCCCGGAAGGAGACAGCAGAGGCAGAACGTCAGCGGCTAGCCAATGAAGCGGCAGCCGAAGCTCAGCGAACGACTGAGACTGACGCAGCGACACGAGACAGACGGAATGCCAGCAGCACGGAGTCCTTGATTGCTTGTGAGCATCAGTGGACGACGATACTCCAAGACATGATCTTTGTGCCTACAGAAGCGCAGGCAGACCCGACACCGGCGGAGGCAGAGAGAAGTAACCTGGCTAACTTGCTGTTGGGCATGATGAGAGGTATTATGTGGAATAATACACTGCTGCAGTCACATCTGCGCGCGGACGTGACGCAGCGCCAAACATACAAGAATGATATGACTACGTTAACCACTGCTATCCGCACAGAGGCAATGCAGCAGCAGCAACAGCATCAACTGTTGAATTCCACTGTCACACGCGTCAACAGCATAGAGGCTAACGCCTCAGCAGCGCCAGGCTGCACGACAGACGTGACGAAGCAACTCAACGAGCGCATCGATCACGTCGTCACCATCACCGGCGACATAAGTACGTTCACTGGACTAGACTCGATCAGCAGCACGGTGGCCGCCATCAAGATGGACCTCACCAAGCTACAGACGAGACCGGAAGCCGCTACAAAGACATTCAAGATGCCGCACTTCGACATCAGCAAGTTCGACGACTACAACAAGTCGGACGCCTTGTCATGGTGGCAACGCTTCCTCACGGAAGCATCATGCCGCATGGTCCCGGCGGACGACATGTTGAAGGCACTATATCTGCAGCTGATTGGAGGAGCGCAGGGATGGGTGAACCACCTAGCGGCTACACACAAGTGCACTATCGCCGAACTCCACACGCACATTACGTGGAAGGAGTTCGAGCAGCTATGGTTCACTCGGCTCATGGTCCGCAACGTCGTGAAGGCGGCCATGAATGAGGTGTACACATGCTCTCAAGGGAACATGCCAACTCGAGACTGGACAACGAAGTGGCAAAAGATAGTGAACACAGCAGGTTTCGATTTGACATTTCCAAATCAACGATCCGAGTTCTTCTCGTGATCGTGCGCGGGATTGCGGTCGACACTCGGTAATGAGTACGACTATACCACATTCCATGCCATTCTGGATCGAGCGAACTTGGTCATCCAAACGGACGACAAGGCCGCTAACGAGAGACAATCCCAACCGCACTATGTGGCTAAGTAGACCTATCAACGTCCGACACATAACAATGCCGTATTTTCTGAAGAAATTGACGACCACCATGCGGCGGCAGCATCCTCGAGTGATGGAGGAATKGTCGCAGCGCTCCCGCCGAAGCATCCGAAGAGAGTTCGCAAGAACAAGGCGACACAAGGGACAGCGGCGACGGGAGCTGGGCAGCAGCCATGGACGGCTTATAAGATCACCAAGGAGGTCTATGACCTACGTCAGAAGTACGCATACTGCCTATGGTGCAACAGTGTAGTACACACTACCGCACAATGCCCAGACAAGGGCAAGGCACGCGTACCCCGTCCAGCAAACTCGGGAAACTGAGTTACGCAAGGAGAGGGGCGACGTCTCTCCTCACTCCGCCGGACCCGGTTGCCTTGCTAGCAATCGATGTCACTACCGGRGAGCATGCGTTAGTCGCTGATTCTCGTGCTACGTACGAGGATTATGCTGCCCAACTGGTACCACCATTAGACCAGCCTAGCCACGTGCACGTAAATTGCGTATGCGCAGCCTGTACACCGTCGGAAAGTGATCCGGTCAGTTCGCCACTGATTTTCGAGGACTCGACGGCGTGGTCAAGTCTTGAGGAGCTTGACCCGCTCACGAGAGAGGAGTTCGCCTGGATGCCTCTACCCTCGACCGGAACCTTGCCAAGGCCGCATTGCAACGCCTTGATGGCAAATCTACGCT